GCTCTCAATGAAGTCATCCAACCTCAATGATGTTCAGTATAGATATACAGGTAGATTATGCCTCAGAGGCTACCGTTCGTTGCGACAATAACACTTAAAGGAGTTAAAATAGGGGTTAAGGGTTACTATGAGGAAACTATTCTATTGTTTTTAAAGTTAGTATACGTACATAAGAATTTTGAAGTATCCATTCTTAAAAAGTGGGGGGGGGGGCGGTTAACATTCTTGAAACTGAAGAATATTTCAAATTACACGGATATGCCAGCAAATTGCGGTCATCCCGAATCAAAGTGCTATGTATTTTTATTGTTGTTTCAGATGTACAGTTCAAAATGAACCATCCTGAAATGCCAGAGTCGGTATGCAGTCTTCCTTGTTTGGTGGGGCAGGCTAAGAAGTACGTAGAAGGTGAAAGCTGTTGTTGGCATTGTTTCAACTGCACGCAATATCAGGTAATGCATCTTGTTTGTACTTTTAATTGTACAGAATTATACCATACACAGTAGATGCTGCAAGATAGGAGTCTGGAACCACAGAAAAATATTCCCGCTATCAATGATTGGCACATCTTAGGCCTGCATTAGACACTCTAAGCCCTTATGTCAAAAATACATTCTCTGTGTTTTCATATTTTACTATGTCTATGTAAAGTCTATGTTCAAATATAAAACGTTACACAATGCTTCAACGTAATAATATCTAACATAATGTTGGTAATTGACGTACAGTATTGATTAACGCATTCTAGATACTGTATTCCTGCGTCCAATGAATTAGCTGAAAAGAAATGGTATACCGTACCGTCATCTATGAGAACTTGTCTCAACTGTCTCTCTTTGAAAAGGTTAGTGTCTTACAGGTACCGCTGTAGCCATATATAATGCTATATGCTAACATAATTTGCTGATTATTTGTCTGTAATTCCTTGACAGGGCATTCAAAGGGAGTTTAAAAGACATCCATTAGGTCCATGTTTAACACATACCCAGTTAAGAAATATGTCAACTTTTATTCAATAATTGGTTTAATACCTTGACAACATATAAAACTCAAAAGCTAGCGAAATTATTTTTTTGTATACAGGGTGTCCGCAAAGTTGGGGTTTTCCCTTTCAGAAACAACTACCCTTGAAATAACAAAGGTAATGTGTAGTGAAACGAGGGCAACCAAGTAAAAAAAAATAAAGGAAAAAGTACTCACTCTCCAGTTGACGAGAAGCGCTAAGTACGTCTCTGCCAGAAATCATACCGCTCCAACAGAAAATGAAATCAGCTGATGCGCTACCGAGCAGACGCACCATGCCAGCCCAAACATTCACCGAAAATGTTTGTTGAAAATGTGCCCGACGGACAGCGTGCGGATTTTCTACTGACCAAACATGAGTGTTGCGAAAGTTATTCACCTCATTACGCGTGAATGTAGATTCGTCTGTCACCAATATGTACTTTAAAAAGTCCGGATTATTGTCATGTTGATGCAACAACCACTCACAAAACCGCACTCTTGCTGGAAAATCGTCAGGTTGAAGGGCGTGTACACGTTGAACGTGAAACGGATACAGCCCCTCTTCACGCAGCGTTTGCCACACTTTAGTTTTTGATACTTGCACTTCTCTAGCCACGTCTCTAGTGCTTGTTGAGGGATTCTCGTCTACGGGATTACTTCTACACGCGTGACCGTAACCTTCGGTTGAAGTTTGCATACTGACCTGACATACTGACCCCGACCCAGTTCTGTCATCGGGTTGAGCCAGTGACATTGTACCACTCCGTGATGTCGCGGCTACAGGTCGGTATTCAGATATTTTTGATGTTGCAGAGCCCTTTATCTCGGTTCCCTTAAGACATTGGTGTATACGGTACTAAGAAAAATTGCTTATGTTTTCAAGATCTACACGTCGTGTAAAGGAAAACCCCAACTTTGCGGACACCCTGTATATGTCTGCCATATTGAATCCGGCATTTTGATATTTATAGAATCGGTAGTACGAGCCCCTTCCCACTTCACTTGGCCCAACTATTGAAATCTTAGTTTTTTTCTTATCAAACATAAATATTAAAAATGTAGCAGGGTGTTACAGGTTTAAAATATTAACAATGAATATTTTGATAATATACCTGTATAGTAGAAAACATCAACTTTATCACTCCCTAATCAAATTTGCAGCATAAAAATAACACATGTTGCAATTACAGCATATCAACCTATTTTCATTTCAATGCAAAATAAGTCTATAACGCATAGGTGGCTGTGAAAAATAAAAGCCATGACAATTGTTTTTATTAATCACAGCTGTCAGAATACGTTTAAAATAGTTTTGGGTAGTTAACGTTTTCAAAATGGGTAGAGGAAAGGTTATTAGTAAGAAAATTCGGTTACTGATAATTAAATTTTTTAATTCTGGTAAATCAAACTCAGAAATTGCAACTTTGTTAGACTAACCGCGGTACAGTGTGAGAAATATTGTTAGAAGATATAGCGTAACTGGTTCAGTTAATATTAAGCCACGATATGTGAAAAAAAGTAATATCACAAATCCCGACCGAAGAGCATTAAGAAGAATAATCGTGAAAAACAGGCGTGCCAATTATTTACAATTAAGTGCTCTGTAGAGTGACGCTGTTCGAAGGAGAATTTCGAGGTCCACAACTCATAGAGAGGACCACAAACTGGGATTTAGGACTTGCCAGTTAGTTTTCTTATAAAAACAGTGAAGTAAAAACCCTACAGTTGCACAACTTGATCATAGGCCAAAGAAAAGCCACTATTAACTCCACTGCAAAAGAAAAATCGGCTTAGATGGGCTAAAGAACATAGACAATGGACACCTTAACAATGGTGTGAAATACAATGGAGTGATGAAGCTCGATTCGAAGTTTGTATTGGTGACAGTCGCAGTAGAGTTATGAGTCTGAAGAGAAAAGTGAAATTTCCACCATCCATTATGCTCTGGGGCAGTATGTCATCAAAGAGAGTAGGAAAACTTCATTTTATTGATGGAAATGTGGATACAAAGAAATATTTGGCAATTTTAGAAGAATCGCTCGTACAATCACCGAACTGAGACAAAAGCTTCAAGAAATATGGGATTGTTTTACACCAAATTTTTGCCAAAATTTGGTTAACACTATGCCCCAAAGAATTCCAGCCGTAATAAAAAATAAAGGTGAGGTTACCCAATGGCAATCTTTCATTGGTGGCTTTGTTAACTTCGCACATTTATCCGCACATTGTTTATTTGTTCAGATGTTCGATTAGTTATAGGTCTAAGTGGTTTCAAATATGTATTTTTTACGACTAGAGTGTATCTAAAATGTTTTTGAGAAAATAGATTGTTTTATAAGTAAATAGTTTCGTCATGTTCAGTTTATAAAGGCATCTTTTGGTACAAATCTTGAAGTGGGCCAACTGAAGTGAGAAGGGACTCGTATATTCATTATCAGGTACCCAAAACCTAAATTCGTGAGCAATCGAAATCATTTGGCAACCGTATCCGCCATATTTCGATATCGATATCTAATTCGATAGTTACAATAACAAATATAAAAAGGTCGAATTTCAGCGTAATTCATACAGTATTTTGCAGACATATCCGCCACATTGGGTTCGCAATTTAGATTTTTGATAAATGGATATCATGTACGTTATTAACGGCCTCAAAAGGACTTGTGAACCACAGTGAGGCGTGAACATTGATTTTGAGCGTAGAAATCTGTAATGTGGATTTTACTTCCCGTTCCTACTGGCCAGGAAGAATTGTAATCGCGAAACATCTCGAAAATGACATATGTTTTTCAGCTGTTATATAGCATGCAACTCATTTCCGTCGGTCTGTCTGTCGGTAACCTTATAACTTTTGAACTACCACTCCAATTTGAGGAAATTTTTACAGAATATTTCTACTATTTCAGGGACGCAGGAGTTTAATCGTTTTTGAAAATCGGTGGAATGGCGGCAGATAAAAGGCCAAAAACGAAAAAGAATGAAAATCGTACAAACTTTTTTTGACGTTTCAGATCCTGCTCACTTTTGGAAAAAAATGTTGACGTAAAGAATCTTGGAACATTTCATTGGCAGTGAAAATTCTTATAGATGCAAGTTCTGTTTTCATGAATATCTGTATGTTGTGTTATAGTTGTAGTTTTTCAAAATTATGAAGTTGTAGCAATCATGCTAAATATATGTTAAACAAACAAATTCTGTTATATGACACGTACATCACGAAAAGCCATGTCACTTATTTGCGTCGGTCTGTCCGTCGGTCTGTTTGTTTGCCGGTCGCTGATTCTTGGCTCGCATATAACTTCCATTTGTATCTATTTTTGACTAAGGTTATTTTACTATGCCAAGAGCATAAAAGCTCTGTAGGTTTTGAACATCGTTCAAATGAAAAATGCCTAAAGCGAAAAAATGTATGTCGCTCAAACTTAATCTTCTATCATTTCAGAGAATCGTGATTTTTTAGGAAATCTTTATGGGTAAAAAATTGGGCGGTGGGGGGTTGCAGGATGGTGAGGGAGGGTATATCTCAATTTCATGTTAGTATTTTCATATGCTGCCAATCACGGTTAGTGCACGCAACTGTTAGATATATTTCACATTTCACGTGCTGGTTTAGACTACTGTCCTGGCATTACTGCCGCGCTGCCGTGTCTGACGAGGCGTACGATCGGGTATCGTGAAGAGGCGACATTGCCAGATGGTCGTTAATACTGGACAGATAGAGAGTGCCTATGGACTAATTGTGTCAGCCTGTTTGGATGACTTGATTCGTTTAATTACTCTGTTATACCCGTTCATAACTCCAGCGTTCCAACTGGTGTTGAACATAATCCTTTTCGAACTAGTGACGGCGTTGCATGGAAAGTGCTAAGATAAACTACTTGACGCCATTCTTTCTTCCAGGTTCGGCACCCAACAGACCCCACTCAATGCATTTCCTGCCCCTGGGGCACCGTACCGGATCCCCATCACGTGAACTGCACCCCAATCCGCGAAGAGTACCTCCGACCAGACAGCGGGTGGGCCATCGGGGCCATGTCGCTTTCGTCATGTGGGGTTCTGGTCACGGTCTTCGTCATGGGGGTATTCATCAGACACAACGACACTCCTGTGGTTAGAGCAAGCGGGAGAGAGTTGAGCTACGTGCTGCTGAGTGGGATCTTGATGTGTTATGCGGTTACTTATGCGTTGGTGCTGAAGCCTAGTGATGCCGTCTGTGGGATACAGAGGTAGGAATTTTTATTTTACTGGTACAAATCTATTGGTTGGTCTTCAAGTTTCCTCAACGTACGTAACTTTATCAGGATTAGTGATCACACACGTCAGTAGCAACCCTTCTGGAAAGACAGTTTTTTAACACCAATTCATAAGTCTGGTTCCAAGAATGATGTGCAAAACTATCTGGCAGTAGGTCTCCAAGCTTGTAGATTACCTGGTATTGAAGAAGCTATCATGGGAAACTTGGCATTTAAGTAACGACCAACAGCATCGCTTCGCCGCAGGAAGATCAACTGCTAAGGACTTTTGACGCAAAATTAACTTTTGAGACACATTTCAGAGAAATTACTTCTAAATCATAAAAAATATTGGAATACATTTCCAGATCCATCAAACATAACTCTAAAAAAGTTTTTCGAACTTTATACTACTTGATGCCGGGAATTTACACAGGGGCATGGTTGCCAAATCTGATTGGTGACATTAACTCCATTAAAGAAGTGCAAGGTAAAGTTTTAAAACAGGCAACTATTAAAATGTGTCGAGGTAAGAATGCTTCAGAACTAATGAGTACGTTGATCAGAGACTCCTTGAAAAACTGCAGATAAATTTTTGACTTGTGTTTTCTGTTTGAAATAGTTAATGGTATCATAGATGGTCCAGAGGTGCTTGCACAAATAAATCTTAATGTAAATGAGAGACAAACTCTTAATACAGAACTGCCTGTGAACCCACATCATTCTACCAATAATTATAGTACGAACGAACCAGTTACTAGAATTGTAATATCTGACAACACCGCTAAGGCTACAGTATAGATATTTTCAGTAGCAGTATTAAGCACATCAAAAAGCACATTAAAATGACTCCATTTAACCTTAGTTTGTTAGGTTCAATTATAAGATATATAGATAGATTGGGTATCACATGAATCATCAGTTCTTCCTTATTTCAATAATAATATAAAGCTAATGTAATCTGTCACATAAACGTAATGTTTTTTGGATCTAGTGGAAAACCGTGAGTAAATAAATTATTTCCTGTCACTCAATCCTACCATTCTTTCCCGTCACGAAAGCTCATTCCCAACAAACAATTAGAGTTGCAAGAGTGATTATACAGTATTCCTTACACAGCATTGTACACTGTAAGAACATTGGCAAAACCCTCTCAGAACAGCTATACAAGCGGAATGGGCACACCTAATAGGACAGTTCAGTCATTTAAGAGGTTGTATAAAGGTGCAGGTAACAGTTATACAACAAAACTGTAAGCCTCTGGCAGCCGCTATAGGACATTTGCGTCAGTGCAAGATTCAGTTTTTGTCAACTGTACATCTATTCTGTTACGTGATTCTACTTTATTGCAACCAAACTATTTCTTATGTATTGTATAGACGAAGTGAAGAATATATAACTAACACATTACAGTCATCTTGTTTAGTTACATATCGGCCATTCTGAATTTCATACACAGGTATATGATAAACTTCTACACTGTGATATAGGGCTATTAAATTACATGCGCAGCAAATTTTATTGTGATTATCGTGCAAAGTAGTTACTCAATTTCTACGGGCTTCGTATTTGATTCATATTTTAATAATGATCAAAATTATGTCTAGACTTGTAAGATGGAAAAATAAACTTGTCTGCGATAACTTCCACAAATCTTATATTTAGACACAATTACACTAATGTCTATCACTTTATATCTATAATTTCGAACTGAAACATAATTATCTAATATTAAAATGGAGGAATAAATGTTTGCCCAATATGGCGGGTGGTTGTGTATAATTATGCCATCGTCCATGTTGTCTTTAGTTTATTAGAATGTTTTGGTGCTGCCTGCAGGTGTTATACAACAATTTGACAAATGTCTGAAATGAAATACCGACAGAGTCGAATGATTTACCCAGAATTTGTACCAGATCTATATTTTCTGTTTGAACAGTTGATAAAACCTTTTGAACCAATATGCATGCGTTGTTTGTCTTGAAACATTGGTTATGAAATTTTAACAAAAATATGACAGCAGAAAGTTAGGTTATGGTGAAGTTGTATATTAACATATTTAGCAACAAATGTACACCGAGCACAGCAATTTTGTACTACAAAAGCTGTTATATTGTTGCATATGTACAGCCTTTAACAGTTACTAAACGACAGTTGTATAAGGGCTTCCGTTTGGAGCAATTTGTTGGCTGAAGTAGTAAATTTGCACCGCAAAACAACAAGGCTCGGGTTTGTTTTATAAACGTTACCATGGATGCCACAACACAACGATTTTGACTAACGTGCAAATATGCCGTATAAAATAGTTGTATAAATATTTATGCAACAGTTAAAAATTTGTCCTGTAAGGTGTTGTATAACTATGCTATCAGAATATTTTAAACAGCTCATTTTAGAGCAAATATGTTGCAGAAAGCAAATTTGCATTCCACACAACATTAATCCAGCATTTTGATGTTCAGGCAACAACAATAGAGAGCTTTTATGGCTGAACGGTTCTTTTACCAAAAGCTTATAGCACTACTTTGCTGGTTTTGGAATTGAGGAAACGACAATCTTTTCGTGAGGTTCTTGACTCGTCAACTCGACACGCACAAATTCGTACTCACAATACAACTTTTCCTACTAAATGTCAAAATTTACCGCCAGAAAAGACTGATGCCTGTGTTCAACTGAAGTCATACTAGGTTTAACTTTAAGAACACAGTACACCTATGCACTGACTTCGTTTCGTCCCTTCCCATTTAGGAGCATTTTTGATCGGACAATGCTGCACTTATGCCAGTAAATTTGAGTTTTGGACAAATGGGGTCATTAAACATCAAGTATGATTTTTTAGAAGATCATAAGGTTATAAAGCAGATTGCGATCAAAGCCTTCTCTAAATTCGTATGTTACTTAAGTAATGGGTAACACTTATCTACACAATAATATCACTTTCCTTCTATAACAACGCTCGAGAGGATGGATTGACAGTTTTATAATCCATTCACCATTAACAGGAACGAATGGCATGTTTGAATAAGCAGGAAAGAGCACTGGTATATGAGCTGCAATCATCTATGTCTACGTAAGAAAGCATGAACATTCACCATATTTGGGAACCATATTGAAATTATCCTGCACATTCGCCATTTCTAATCATATGATCAAGTTGATATGGAAGTGGTAATATTATTGGTTTTGGAAATATGTATATACTCATAAATATTGTGAGGTCTTTAGAGATGCTTCCGCTTCGAAGTCGTTCAAATTGTATCTTGTGCGGTTTATGATAAAGACATTCTGTTAGGTGGAAAACAAAATATGCGATGTTGCAGTACAATGAAATAATTGTCATTATTGGCCATCCATTAGAGCTAAGTTGTGGATTAGGACGCTTGAAGCTACCTGGATAGAGATCTATATTTTATTCAGTGGAGTTGAGCTAAAATCATCATAGATACAAAACATAAAAGGCGATTCATTAGCAATTTCGTTGTTTTCGGTATAGGTGAAAGTTGGGTAGAACTTAAAATGTTTTATATGAAAAAAGCTCATTAAATCACCTTTACCTGCATATTAGAAGAAACTATTCCATTACAGATACAAAGTACTCTCGTCATGAAGGATACTGACATAAAATTTGTGAAAATTTTGGAAATATGAAAATTTTCATTTTTATTTTCATAACTTAAATATTTTGTTCTTTGGATATTATACTACATGTACATCACGAAAAACCATGTCACTCATTTCCGTCGGTCTGTCTGTCTGTCCGCTAATCCTACAACCGCCTATAGCTTGAGAAGCACCGCTCGGATTTGACACTTTCACACAACATTACTACTTGTCAAGGATGTAAAAAATCTGACACGTGCCGGCAGAGAAAAAATTACAAAACGAAAAAAGGACGAATCACTCAAACTTCGTTTTTTGACGTTTCAGAGGAACCTGAAAACTTTTAGACGTATACAAACTTGGGGTCAGGGGTGGCTAGGGTATATCTCAATTTTTTGATAAGTACATTTATACGCTCCCAGCCGTGGTAATTATATGTACCTATTAAACACATTTCACATATTTTTCTCTGTACATTCTCCCTTGAAAATTAAAAAAATATTCTCCACCTACTAGCCTCGATTATGGAGAGTTATGTTGTTCTAGTATGGTATCACACGTATTTCTGCCTCTCCACAGCATAGCGTTTCCTATACTCTGACGGCGCTCTCATCTGACCGAGATGAGAATCGGGGAGACGCGACGTTTCCAGGTGCACTATCGATAGAACAGGGAAATAATATCAATGGACTAATTGTATGGATACGTTTGACTGACTTGTTTTTCAGTGGGTCTAGTTTGGGGTGAACATAATCCTCTAAGAACTGATAACGGTGTTGCATGGGTAGTGCAGGGTCAATGTACTTGACGCCATTTTTCTGTATTACTAAAATACCTAGATAATAGTTCAAATGAAACTTTTTTATTCGGATTTACCCAAAAATCCAAAATAATTTTGTTCGGCAAGAAAAACAAATTGAAAGGTTTAAGAGGAAGAATAGCCGTCGGTTAAACATCGCCCAGTTATTATTATAACGTGTTAAAATACTGTTTAAGCAATGTTTAGCGCAATTTTGAGCCTGACAGAATGTACATTTTTAAGGGACCTGTCTGATTAAAGCTATGCAAAAAATGAATCAGAATATTTTCCGCGCAAATGCGAAGATATGCTTTATTGACTAAATCTAATTTCAACATAACTGTCAGAAATGGAGGTAAATGTTAATAAGGATGTAATATATTTATGTCTGATGAATGCTCATCTTCCTCGTATAAAATATGACCGAATCTAGCAAAGTATTTATTGAAGTTAAGCAATGTTTGTTATCAACATGGTATTCATTATTATTTCAGATTTGGTGCGGGTTTCTGTTTCACGGTAGTCTACGCCGCGCTCCTAACCAAAACCAATCGAATCTCCCGAATATTCAACGCCAGCAAACACTCAGCCAAAAGACCGAACTTCATATCTCCCAGATCGCAACTGGTCATTTGCATGGGCTTGGTCGGCATACAGGTAAGTGAAAGCACATACATATGAATATTGATTGATCCCAACAAAACCGCAGCAGCGTATTTCGATGCCAGCAAACGTTATAATTGTTCGATGTGTTCGAGTTTATCGAGATGATGTGGGCTACCAGCACATTGTATTCTGGAGTTAATTATCGCTAGTAAGAATCATTTTACATTGCATGTGGTTCGCTATGAGCCGGATTTGATTTCCGAACTAGTAACATGCACGTGGACCCAACTCGCAAACTGTTTTGAGGAGCTTAAGGAAACTTCGTTGATCCGATTGTTGGAATGCCTAAGTTTAGCAGAACTTTGAAAAACCTCCTGTTGTAGCTTGTTCCACACTCTCGACACTCTAAGGACAAAGGAGCGGACGTATCGGCCAGTTCTGGATGTATGAAGTTCGACACGGTCAGGATGGGCGGCTGAAGTCAAGCGGGTCTGTCTGGCACGCACATCGCGCGGCGGCATTGCAAGAGAGCTCTGACGAGCAAAGTCTGTTGGCATAGCGGTAGAAGGAAGCTAGATCGCCGACGGCCCGCCGGTGTGAAAGGGTCCTGAGACTGTCCATTAGAAAAGAGTCATCCTCCCAACAGCATCGAGCACGGATAATGTAGTCGGACCGGCAGCACCCCAAAGATGCGAGCAATAGTCGGGGCTAGGGCTTATCCGGGCTTTGTAGAGAGTGGTGAGGTCATATGGAGAAAAGTACTATTAGGTCCCAAAAAAGCTTTTTCCCAGCCGCTGTCGCTTGACGAGATGTGTTCGTGTCAGATTAAGTCCTCTGTTATCTGAATTCCGACTGGTCGAAATGAACTGAGATTTTAACAACATTTAGTAAACAACAACTCGAGAGATGGGAACGGTGCAAGTGGGATTCGAACCCACATCTTCTCCATTCCGTGGAGTGGACCTAACTAATTAGTCTACAGCACCAGCTGCTATCCAACCTTCAGGATCGACCGTTAGATGCAAATTCGCCGCTGCCCCTTTGTTCTCTCAAGCTACCTTGGTGCCCTATCTTGCGGCGTTCAAGTGAAACAACCGAATTGGTAAGATATCTCCAATCGTTTTCTAGTTGCACCACGCTGCCTCGTGGGCACACACCGCAGTATCACTGTGCGAAAACTGCAACCTGTATAAGAGCAATTATGTTTAATAAACAACAACTTGAGAGATGGAAGAAAGGAGATATAGGAATCCCAACAGCGCCAATTCCTCCTATCTTTCACGTTAACTACAGATACCCGCTATTGCGAAACATCGTATACAAATTTTCACAATGTCAACTCGGGAGACCCTAGGGATCGGTGCTGACTCCAATATTAATTGTATTACATATCAATAACCTTCTCTCGTGTACGATCAATCCAATCCACAGCTTTGCTGATGATACTATTCTACACGAAGATGTTTAGTGTGACAGGCAGATATCTGCTGGTAAGCGAAAGAAAAGAAGCCGAAGAACAAACCCCGTAAAAACATACGGAGAATAGGTCTCAGTCGATTAGTCTAAAAATATATTAACACTTTCCTAAACATACGAGTATAGTAAGTCATCATGGGACGAATTCAATCATTTGATTAGTTTCTGACAAATAGGGGCTAAGGTTTGTCCGATTTGCCAAAAAGGCAAAAAACTCGGAAAGTCGGTTTATTGAAAAACTTATTTCAATAAATCGCCTTGTGTTAAGATATATCTTGTGGATTGTGGCCATAATCACTTACGAGGTCAATTTAGGAGCAAGTTGATTTTTAAATGTCGATGCTGGAATAGATCTAACACGAGTTGTTGCAACTTACAATTCTACCTTACACTAGTCAATGAATGCAACCACAGACCTTGGAATAGTTTAGACACGTTTCGGCTACCTTGGCAGCCTTATCCAAAGTACAAAATAAATTAATGGATTATGTAAGTTTTTCAAATTGATCATTAATCAGTTAGACCTTTATTTATAGATATCAGACAACAGACAACAGAATTGATTTGCTTCAATCGTCGATGTTGACTGTGAAAGAATCTTCGAGTAAAAGTGATGTATTTGTATTTGCATTTTTCATAAATCCACCTCTTAAGGAATATATTAAATGGCACAGAAAACGCAACACGGACTACGAGTGCTGTAATTTTGAGCATACTTTTACAGGTTTTAGGTCTACTGATGAATAGAAAGTAATTAGAATTTTAACTCGAAATTAACCTTAATGTTAATAATGGGTTGAAGCTCCCATGTTCGCTATATATTCGTTAAGTCGTCGTGACATTGATTGGATTAGGTGATTAATGTCATCTTGGTGTATTATATCCCAGGCTATCTGAATTTGGTTTCGTAGAGCCTCCATTGTTTGTGAAGAGTGCGGTGAATTTTGCAACCTTCTTCCCATCATGTCCCATAGATTCGAGGGGGGAAAGGTCTGGGGATCGAGAAGGCCACTGGAGCAGATTTAATCTGAACGCTTCTGAAAAGTCTATACTAACACGTGCGAGATGAGGTCGTGAATTGTCTTGCTGAAACAGTGGATCTCACAGTGCTTCCAAAAATGGGAGCAGATGTAGTTGTAAAACTTCGTGAATATAGTGAGGGGAAGTCATGCTACTTCACTCGAATTGGTCCCATGAGAACTATCATTAAGAAAGACGAAAAATATATCATACTAAATTGTATCGAAAATGAACTGGAACGCATTTTCTACATACTTTGTGCCGGGTCATTTGGAAAAGCCGATCAATCGACTTCAATCACCAGTTATAATATGAATGTCTGGGACCGTTGAATCCGACCTCGAGATTTGAATATGTACGAAGAAGGCAGTCAAACGATCGGTTCAATCATCTGTTATATAATTTTAGTGGCGTTCGATTCTTAATCGGTACATCAAAGAGAGTGTTCCTTAACACAGGAGCTTTGCATTGATATAGCCTTGAAACTATATAACAATGAACTCATCAAGGCAATTTGACCCGTGACTTAGACTCATCGATACCAAACACCTTGTAGCTACCATGCTTTTTGTTAACAATTCCACCTGGAAACGACCTTGAACATATTTGGTATTTCTAATAACTCTTATCTGAAGGTGAATTCCAAGGACGTAATAAATTATTTTATGAGAATTTTCTTATTTCAGGTCCTGATAAATGTAATATGGATGATCCTATCTCCACCGAGGGCAATCCATCACTACCCAACAAGAGAGGACAACCTGCTCGTCTGTTCTTCCTACATAGATGCATCGTACATGATAGCCTTCACCTATCCAATCTTCTTGATCGTTGTTTGTACCGTCTACGCAGTACTGACCAGGAAGATTCCAGAAGCTTTTAATGAGTCTAAGCATATAGGTAAGTTTAAGTCTGTAACCTTAAATCACGATTTTTTTTTCGAAACATTCCCGACATACGACGCACGGCGATGACTGGAGATTTGAAACGTATATCTGAAAAGATCCTAAAAATTTTTCTGTTTCTGTTTTTTGCTTATAACTTTTTACCCACTGCAATTTATTATATTCAGGAATATTGAAACATTACTTTCTATGACTCTTTCCTATTTTCGAACATTCGATGATTTGGTTCTTGCTCCATGATGTCAAGTTCCGAGCACCATAGTTAGATGCATTGGTCTCTCTCAAGCCATACTTAAAAACGGTCACCAGACTGTGAGACAGTTATTGAATGTCTCCTTAACCGACACGCCGATTGAAACCTTTGTCACTCGGTTTACTTCTCTTTTGAGAGCAAGCGTATCTTATGATTGCACATGTTTAAAATAATCCAGTAATTATCCAGATGTATCAAGGTTTTCATAAATTTGTGCAGGTATTCGGATAACACTACTTTAAATGGGAAAGTGGTCGGTCCACTTTTGGTTGAGATTAAATTTTGAACAGTTATAGGTATTATTGTACTCACAAATACTGAGGATTATTCCCTAATCTTACTACAAAATTGTAATAACACTCGAAGATAAGGTCACGCGATGCAGATCGTGGTCGTTTGTCTGCCATATTTAAAATAAGCCAAGCTGTGAGACGGTTATCTAATATATCCTTGTAACCATCATACCGATTTCAATTTTTTTAAGCTCCATTCTTAAAATTTTTCGAATAACCCAACAATTTTAGTGAGATACAATGTTTTTAACTATGTGGAGGCATAAAAATTACACCATTTATGAACTGCACGCCAACATTGAAACTTTTTCTCTTCTACAATATGGCATAGGTAATAAAAATTTCAATATGACGTGGCGTCTCTTGTCCTACAGCGTTAACTTTTTCTTTATGAACGTTGTATCGGGTGTTCGCGAATAAGCTTTTTAATTCTAATTTCAAAAATGTATAATATGTCATACAACGATATTGCCAAGCCTTAGTTATTCCAGAAAAATAGAAGATTTCATTTGATTCGTATACCAGACCAGACCTCAAATTAAACATAGCAACATAGTTTGGAAGACCGAAAAGCAGAGAAATAAATCGAGCAGTGAACAAAGTTCAGAGAATAGTCAGGATTTTCCTGCAAAATAAAGAACGTTTTAAATATGATTTATCTCTAGTTATTTATGATTATTATTGTTATTACCATTAATAAATTTTTTCTTTTGTGTTCACGTTTCACCTCACGTTTTTATTTCCTGACTATCTCTATAATTTCGACTCAACAACAAATTCATGGCCGTCACTGAACTTAGGACTGAAAATTCCATTTAAATGTATAAGATTCCAATACTGCGCCCATATGAAAAAAACAATGGTGATGGAAGTCGAAAGAAGACATGTACAATTGAAAATTTTACTGATCTTGTAGAGGAGAATAATTATCGATGACACTATGCGGTTTCTGTTGAAATCCCATCTCAAATTATGCTAGGAAAAAAACAAAAGTGATTTTGGAATAAATCTGGTATGCGAAATAAATAACTATCTGGGTTTGGCAATGCCAATGTATGACTTATTATACAGGTGGTCAGCGGAAGCGGAAAGTTTTAAATACTTTATGATTCTAAGGGCAATTTAATTTAAATAAAATACAGTATAACGTTGATAAACCAATAATATGCCATTTTTATTTCATAAAAATAATACCGCGCAAGTCTCTATACGCACTCTTGAATTCTTTCATGGTTCACCATAACACGAACAAAACTCCACAGGAATCATTGGAATCTCTTCAATAATGTTTCTTTTAAGCTCCAGAATGGTTCATGGTTTATTAATGAATATCCGTTAGGTCTGACGCCTTTGGCGGCCAGTCAATGTCTCTTCGTCTGGAAATAACCTGTTGTGGAAACAATCTTTGCAAGGAGCTTAATGACGTTCTCGTGGAGTCTGAACTGGCACCTCCCTGCTGGAACCTTGTTTGATTATTATGTGGAAATCTGCTGAAGCGGTGACTCAAAAACTGGTTTATCATATCGGTATAACGCACAGAGTTAATGGAAACAGCATTCTCATTCTCATCTTCAAAAACGTATGGCCCTATAATTACCACTGAATGCATCGCACATCATACCGTCACTTTTGGACTATGTGCTGGTTGTTCGTGGAGCTCCTGTGCATTTTATGAATTCAAAGACAATTTTGTTTGTTGGTATAGCCACATAAATTGAAGTGCGTCTCGTCAGACATCCACAAATTGTGTATATCGATTTTATTCTCAAGCAGGGTCTCAGCAAAACGTAAGCGAGCCAGGATGTCTGTTTGTCTCAGTGCTTGGACAATTTGAAGTTTGTATGGATGAAGATTGAGATCTTTATACAAAATTCGAAGTAAAGATGTCTTTCAAATTGTTAACCCTGGGGCTCGTTTTCGGGTTGAACGTTTTGGACTGTGTTCCGCAGATATTCTTATACGATCGATGTTTTCCGGCATTCGTACACTTTTCTTTGGTCCTTTATGTTTATGTCCAGTGACAGCTGAACCTGTTTGTTCTAATTTACGAACCCATTCCTTTATAGCATGAGCTGAAGGAAGTCTTGTCATGTCGACCAATTTGGAAATAAAGTTGGAAATGTCACTGAGCGGCAACCATACAGATATTGTTGTTATAGTACGACTTAATCACAAATGCACGTTGCTCACCAGACCACTGCTCCATGATTACTCAATGGCATACAGTGACAGATAATTTCAAAAAACAATTTATAGCCATCTATGCATAGTTACGAAAAAACAACGTTATCAAGACTCCCCTCTCTCGGAGACCACCTTGTACTTTTCTGGAATCAGAATTAAAAACTCTATTTATCTGTGCGAAAATCCAATATGAGCTCCATAAAAAAATGAGGTTGTTGCTGGTGGACAAGAGACGAAACATCATACTGAGACTCTAATTATGTCATCTTGTAAAGGAAAATAAATATTAAGGTGCAATTTATTTTGAAATTCCACTTCGCATAAAGTCAGAAAGAGGTTAAAACGATTTTTGGAAAATTCGGTATGTTTTCCGTCTCTTTCCGGAAGTACTTTAAATGTCGAAACTTTCTAAGCGGCATTTTATTGATTACTTAAATCTGTACGCAACCTTACCCACATTTAAGCGACTTCGTATATCTTACAGTTTCAGTTTCATTGAAATATTTGAAAAATGTACACTTACCAAATATGCTTACCTTCAGAAAAGAAGTTGAATTGGCTTAAAAAAAATCAAATTCAATCCGTTACGAAGATATTTATGTTGTACGAATTTTTAAATATGGAGGATCCATTCGGATGAGTGACCTCATCCTTTAAGTGCCTAATGATATTTGTATTCAAACTAAGACACACGTGATCTTAGTGGATCATCCAAGACTATAGAAGAGATTTTCCTCAGCTATGTATCAGGTAACCAAATAAGTTCGTGCGGTTTTTAGTAGAAAAATATAAATCTTTATTGAGAAGCAATAATACACTATTTATTCGTCGAAGTAATTACCATCACATTCAATGACCTTTTGCCAACGCGAAACCAATTTTTGTATGCCGGTCTTGTAAAACTCCATGGATTTGGAGTAAAAAAATTGGCGGACTGCATTTATTACACTATCTCGAGTTGTGAACCGTCGGTGCCTCATACAGTTGTCAAGAGACAAAAAAAGGTGATAATCACTGGGCGAAATGTCAGGACAATATGGCGGGTGTGGTAACGCTTCCCAGCCGAGTTCAGAAATTTGTTCTCGTGTCTCTTTTGCGGTATGAGGCTTGGCGTAATCCTGCAAGAATATCACTTCCTTCCGATTGATCAAAGAAGGCTGTTTCTGGATGAGTGCTGCTTGTACTTGTTGAGACTGCTCAAAATACAAGTTAGCAGTTATGGTTTGACCCCTTTCCAAAAACTGGACAATTCCAGTTGCTGTCTACCAAACACACAAGAAAACCTTGTTTGGGTGCAAAGAAGCCTTGGGCGTGTGTGGTACCGAATCAGTAGGCGACAACCAGTGATACGAACGCTTAGAATTCGAATACAAGATCCATTTCTGGTCGCAGGTTAATAACCGGTTAAGAACAGGTTCGTTAGCGTTGCGTGAAATGTTTGCTGAAGAAATGGTAAGACGACTTAGTTTGTTACCATTTGTCAATTCATACGGGACCCATTTGCTTAACTTCCACGTCTTTCCTAGCTGATGAAGATGCAAACGAATAGTTTCAGGACTCACTCTGAACATTTCTCCAAGTTCTTGGCACGTTGACCTGGAATTTGCATCCACAACCTGTTAAAGATCCTCGTTGTTAATGATTTTTGGTCTCCCTCAGCGCGGTTCATCGCTTAAACTGAGATCTCCCGAGGAAAATTTTTTGAACCACTTCTATTCTGTTCGATAACTAACGGCGTCATCTCCGAATGCGGTAACATATTCTTCGCGCCGCCGCTGCAGCTTTTGTACCAAGTTTGTACTCATACAGTAAACAACTTCGAATTACTGTTTTATTCGTTGCCTTTTCAATTATGAAACAATTTTCAGCAAATTTTTATGTGTGTGAGAAAAAAGGATTCATACTAAAGTGACAGCAGGTAACAAACAATCGCTATCGATCAACAACATCCATGGCAATGTGCGATATACAGCAACAGCTTGAACTTATTTGGTTACCTGATACTAACCTCAACCAATTCGATATTTTCCAGCTCTCTTAAACTTCATCTGCGCTTTTTCGTAAAACATCAATGGCGATCCCTTTGCATGCCAAAGTTTTCCAGCCCCTGCTTCAGAATTTTAGCTGCGAAAGAGTCTTGCGGACTCCTGTGCGTGGGGGCGGGGTGTGAGAACAGTGTCCATTATGACAAATCTGTGACCTCAACGTGAAATGTTTTCCATCCACTTTAACTCCCCGCGAGTGCATTTTTATTCCATTTTAGTGAAAATCGCGCCTTTCAGAACGAATTCCATGCGAATATACATAAGCTCCGGCGGGTAATGGATATATCGTGTACATATTGATAGCTGTTTTCGTATTCCATTTTTCATTGTGAGCCGCAACGTACGGAAATGATACATGGTTCTGGTTGAGAATATAACGGAAAAGAACTACTACCACCTAACGTATTCCAAAGAAAATTAATATATCTCGCTCTACACCATTAATTTCCTTTTTGGCCACGGCTTTGGATAAAGTAATCCAAACGAGGCTCAAATTTCGTGCCAAATATTTATGCATATACAGAATAATAGAGATAAGGTGAAAAGTTTTCGTCCCAACAATGAAAGATTGTAATTTTCAGTTGAAATCAGGTTCACAGCATTTGAGACAGTCAAGTGTGGAAAATCACATCAGGCATGTGGTGGCCGAAATCGTTGATGCAGTGCTGGAGGCGTTCTTGGAAGTTCGCGTAGACTCTCTCCAACGTCGCTCTCTCAACTTGGGCGACTTCCACGCGAATTTTGCCATTCAATTCGTCTAAAGTTCGGGGCTTGTGGCTTGTGAAAGTTGGCTTCGACACAATACACACATACACATAAACAAAAAGAGGTTCTCATTTTGATCGATCAGTGCTTCCATCTCACGTGCGAAGTTCATTCGTTGTGCATAATCTCCGGGCTGTAACTGTTACACAATGGCCAATTTGTAGGGGTGAAAGCGGAGATATATACAGGGTGACTTCGAAGTTGAGTCATTTATTTTAACAGTGAGTAGATCTGATCTAAAGAAATGTTTTTTCCTTTACCATTTTTCTGGTAAAATTAAAGTAACAAAGTTATAGCCCTTTGGAAGTTTGAGTACCGCCCTGCCTATTATATGCTCGTGTTTGGCGACAACGGATATAATCCGCCTGAGCGGTTCATCGCATCGGAAACAAATAAGCGAAAGAATTTGAAACGTTTATCACGATGTTTTTCGTCAGTCGATAAATCCTGAGTGAATAGTAGTGTGTTGCGTGGCTCAAACGAAATCAAAAATGGCACATGTTTACGAAAATGCTGAACTTGTGGACATGATTCTTATTTACGGGGGGGGGCAGTCTTTACAAAATGCTCCCGGATGCATCACGGATTTATGCGAATCGGTTTCCCAATCGAGTGCAACCAACCCCTCGTGCCTTTGTTAATGTAGTGCAAAGGGCTCGTGAATCAGGTGACTTAAGACCTCACAGGTGAGGGCATGTTGCTCCAAGACCGCACGATCAAATACAGGTCCGCACTGAAATACTTGTCGGGAGGATACTTTATTAAACAAGGTAAAATTTTTTTTTTATTTTTTTTTTATTTTTACACACATATTTTGGTTTATCTTCCTTCTACAATCATTATCTGAAAATTAATGACTCAACTTCAAAGTCACCCTGTATATGCAAAATTCGCATTACTGAACGATCACTAAGGCGAAGTGCAGCAGCATGTTTCCGGGAAGATCTAGTCGGACTGTGAATGGAGACCTGTCGATCGCGTTCAACATTTTCAGGAGTTCGAACTGTTCGCGGCGCTCCTCTTGGTCTTTTGTTGATCAGTTCACCAAGCCTGCGATGTGATTCAACCCAATGAAGGATGGTGTTTCGGGAGGGAACAGCTGTATTCCGATGAATGTTGAAGTGGCGACGAAACTCACGCTGTATGACGATGACTGGCTCATTATTTCGGACGAAACGTTCATAGGCGAAAACACGGTGCTCCACCGTCCAAGGCTCCATAACGACAACTGGTAAAATAATGCTAGGATCTCACGAGTCAAACGGCACCCTCCCCACTTCTCTCGTAGACGGAGGCGCAGAGTACTACCCATCCCAAAAACGTCCGTCCTCTCTGCCGCACCCTGTATAACCATCTCAATATCTTCAGCAAACGAAGCGCATCCTAGAAAGATACAGATTTTGAAAATCGGTCCAGTGGAGCTAGGGGAAAGACAAGAAAATAATAAAAATCGCTCAAACCTCTGTTTATGATGTTTAAGAGGATCCTGATAACTTTTGAAATAGTTTTTTGGGGGAGAAATTGGAGGTGGGGGTTGTAGGGAGGTATGTCGTAATTTTCTGATGTTCACACATCATATATTTCCCCATACTTAAATCTTGGGTCGATAGAGACTTGTTTTCGACACACCCACCTGCGTCCTCTCTCTGGATCCACCTATCGGCGTGTCGCCGCATGACTGGCGCTCTGCCGCGATGTCGCGTCCGACACATCTTGCAGTAGTGCGCGAGGTGGTGTTGTTAGATAGACGATACTACGTGTCGGTCAAGAAAGAACGTCTATACATGTTCGGAACTAACCTTTCTCTCGGAGGGTCTAACATGTTGTATTCGTCCATCCGACCGAAAACAGTCAAGCATGGACAGCTGTTTCGTGCTTTTTTAACTCATTAGCATAGTCTACACAGGAATGAGTGGGAACAGCACGTTAACCTGATACGGAAAGATATCTGTGCATACACAGATGGCTCCAAGACCGAGATAGGTGTTGGAGCTGGTATCTTCGTGCCGAAGTTAGAGATTAAAGAATCTGTTAGCCTAAGAACCTGATCGTCGATCTTCCAGGCTATATGCTATAGAACTAGGTGCCAAAATGATCGCAGAACGACAACTGAGACACCGAACTATAATTATTTTTTCAGATAGTCAAGCTGCACTTAAAGCATTTGACTATGCATGGTGGGAGATGAAACGGTCAGGCATGTATTGTGCAGATGCCCTGCAATTGCCAGAATCAGGTACAACATACTTGAAGACGTAGTACTTCCAGCAGAAGACCTGAAGGATATTTCTCCAAACAAGTTGATCGACTTCCTCAGGAGGCCGGAGCTACTGGGGGAAATATAAATAAGTGTGAGACACAATAGACGAAAGAGTCGCAGTGGAGGATCGTTATTGGTTCACTCACAAGAAACCTAACCAAACCTTACCTAGTCTACCATTTTTCTCTAGGGCAATGTTGTATGTTATTATTTCGATAGGTACTAACTTGTGCTGAACATAATCCTCGATGAATTGATGAAGTGATTGCGTGGGAGGTGCATAAGCTAACCCCAAAATTTCCTGACTTGCGAATGTTATAATAATATTTATGTTATGAGTACCCGAAATCGGCTAAGAAGTGAATAAGTTTGGGATCATAGAAACACAGAACGACAAGTATCGAACAGAACTCAAATAAAGTCGTGATTCATTTATAATAATAATAATAATAATAAATGGCCTTTATTCGTCACACGATTACAAAATAATTGATTTAAAAGGAACAGTGACGAAAAGGTGGAGTGTCAGCTTATGCTGTTTTTCAACCCGACCTGGAAAACATTGACACAAACTATAGAGAGAGAGAGAAAAAAAAAACTTAGAATATAACACTTATCAGAGAAAGGAAACAATCAATTACCTGTGGATATGCATAAAGTAAAATTTTAGCCATCCGACTGCTTTAAACTCATCTTTAACCTTTTTTTAAAATTGCTTAGGCTATATTCTTTATACTCACTTGATAAGCAGTTATATAGTTTGGGTGCCCAGTACGAGAAACTGCGTGTGAACAATGCTGTCGAATGCCGCGGGATAAGTAAGATGAGTTTATTCCTAGAGGATCTTTGATCGTACTGGCAGAGGAGGCTTAGTTTTGTATAAAGATAATATGGCGCTTTAAGGATAAGGGTCTTATGTACCAAAGATAGGCAATGCAGTTTCCTCAATTTGTTCATCTTAAACCATCCCGATTGGTCAAAAGCGCTACTAATATGATCAAATTTACGGATTCCATAAGAAAATCTGATGCATGAGTTTTGTATCATCTGAATCCGCTCGGCATCACGTTGTAAAAGAGCAGGTCCATATAACATGATTATTTCTTGCAACTATCTTTATCTGTGATTTAAAATTTATACTTTCATCACATTTCAACCAATATGTTTTGGTAACATGGAATTATTTTAATTAAGCCGTACCAGCTTTACGATTTTCGGTAGCAGCGCTGTATAATAAAAAATAGCCTTACGAAATAAGCTCGTCTCCCATTATCCGTAATTGACAGAGCTTCTTAAACAGATGTTTTCAAAGTTGAGTCATTTATTTTAACAGCTTGTAGGACTTGTGAAATGGAGTTGATATACCAAAAATCACCTATATAAAAGTTGCATAATAAAATAAATGGTAAAAGATTAAAAATTAAAAAAAATAAGAATGTTGGTACACAGATTTTTTTGATATTCTCAACCAGTGGTGTAAAATCTTAACGTTTCCTGTTTACTACTCTTATCGTTTATCTAAACTTGGCAAACCTTTTTTGTTATTGTATGGTTTTCAGTACGAGTCTTTGGTACCTTCAGTTGTATCAGTCT